TCCCTGCTACTGTTTAATATTATCTATGCCCTTCCCTGGCTCTTCTTTCCCCCTCTGCCTGTCCAGCTGTGTTATTTAAAAGTAACTTAGCCAAAACCCAAGCAAACCAACCTCAAAAAGCCCCATTTTCTCAGTGTTTTTCTTGCAGGTTGCCTCACTTTTGCACGGAGATGGCTCAGCTCCAGGAGAACATCAACAGCATCATCGCTGCTTTCTACATGTGCAGCAGAGGCGAGGGGAACCGCAGCCCCCTGAGCAGGGAGGAGCTGAGACTGCTCATGGAGCAGGAGTTTGGGGACGCGATGGAGGTGAGGATCCATGGTAGACCCACGTGCGGGTGTTCAGGACTCCTGGGAAAGGCACAGATGCCTTCAAAGCTCAGGATCTGCACAGAGAGGCTGTTCCAGCAGCTCTGTGTGGGGAGCAACAGGAGCCATGGGGCTGGGGAGGCATGGGGCTGGTGTCTGAGGCTTTGCCAACACCATTTGTCTCTTCACAGAACCCCCAGGACCCCACAACCATCCAGAATGTGCTGTGCTTCCTGGAGGATGACAGCGACCGCAACGTCGACTTCGGCGAGGTGCTCAGCCTGGTCTTTTGCGTGGCCAAGGCTTGTTACAAGCAGCCCCAGGCAGCAGAAGACGCTCAAGAGCCAACAGAGCATGAGAAGGCAGCGGGGGAGCAGCCACGGGGGCCACACGTGAACCATCAGGACCAGGACACGGAGATACAGGATCCAGACAACTACGAAACCCAGGAGGGTGACACACAGGAGCAGGACCCAGACACCCATCAAACCCAGGAGGATAAGACACCAGAGCAGGACCCAGGCAGCCATCAAACCCAAGAGGGTGATGCACAGAAGCAGGACCCAGACACCCATCAAGCCCAGGAGGGTAACACACAGAAGCAAGACCCAGACACCCATCAAGCCCAGGAGGGTGAGACACAGAAGCAGGACCCAGACACCCATCAAGCCCAGGAGGATAAGACACCAGAGCAGGACAAGGATGACAAAGCTGAAGCACCCAAAGGAGATCCAAAGAGTGGTAAAACCCCGGATATTGAGACCCCAGAACAGGACAGAAATACCCAAGAAGAGACTGAGAAACCAAAACAGGACCCAAAACCCCATCAGAAAGAAACTGAGGCACCAGGAGAGGGTTCAAAGCACCAGAGCCCAGAGACGGAGTCAGCAGAGCAGGACCAGAATTCTCCCCTTGAGACAAAACAGAGACACCCAGACAAGACCCAGGTCCGTGAGACCCCCGGGCAGGACCCCAACCCTGATGAGACCCACGAGCCGCTGCCCTCGCAGCGACGTGCAAGCCCCCATCGGGATCCCAAGCCCGAGGGAACGCTCCACGACCCAGCTTTGCACCACCTCCCCGAACCCAAGGAGCTGGAGGAGAAGGAGCACAGCGGGGCAGAGGCTCCTTCTTATCCAGCACAGCAGCAACAACGCACTCATGGCCAAACACAACCCGCGATGGAGCAGCAGCACCTGCAGGCTCTGCACCAGTGGCCACCACAGCAGTAAAGGCTGAAACAAGCCCCTGTCTATGTGAAGCTGTTGAGGAGGCACATTTTGTCCAGTCCTACTCCATTTCTTTGCATTTCTATTTGTCATGTCTCGTCCCCTTCCTTATCAATCTTGGGTTTCAGACCTGGTTTGTCCTGAGCTCTGCAGGACTCTAGACCTTCCCCTTGACTCTGTGTTAAACCTCTGCCTCTGTAAGCAAAGCAATAAAACCCAAGGCAAAAGGGCACGGTGTCCTGGTGTGTTGCTGCAAGCGCGTCCTTAGCCCGGCTCTGAGCAAAGCCACGTTGGGGTGCAGAGGACTCCAATGTCCATCCCATGCAGGACACTCAACCACATTGCTCCAGGGTGCAGCTGGAGGGGGGCTGAGAGATACAGGGGTGTCCTGGGGGCAAAGAGCCAAAAGGAGCTGCTGCTCAAATACCTTTGGGGTTTAGCGGAGGTGAAGCGATGGCTTCCCACAGGCAGGGATGTGAGCGATGTCTTCAGAGAGGGGTGAGGTCTGGGTTAGCACGAGAGCGCAGCCGACCCCAGCAGAGCCCTCGCAGCATTCATCTGCTGTGGGCCTTTTTCATGGCTGCTGTGAGAAGAAACAGCTGCTTAACACTGAAAGGGAGGGATTTTGCCTATTTCACCTCACTTATTAATAATCTCCGAAGCAGGGGGAATGCGGAGCATGCAATGAAGCTCAAAATCCCTATTAGCTGTGGAAGTTTCCAAAGGAAGGAGATATTAAACAGAGGGAAAACGATTATTCAGGTACACCCAGTCCTGGCAACGACTGAGAAGCCAGAGCTAAAGAGCTGACAGGCAACAAACGGAGCCAACCTCAAACTCGGCCTCAGTTCAGGTGGTTTTGGGTACCGGATCCTCAGGCGTTTGTCCAGATATGCCCATAGGAATGCGGATAACTCTGAGGGCACCAGCGGTTCGGTGAAGTCAGTGGGGTTTATTATGGGGTTGGGACGTGCTGGACCACCAGGACTCGGCATCCCGCAGGGAGGGTGATGCTGAGCCTGTTTTTCACCACGCTATCTTTCACTCGAGACCTATCAGCCGAATCAGCGCCTAAGAAATGCGCCCGCACCTCCTGCTCTGTGGCCGGTGACAAGCAGCACGCGGAGCCCTCACTGCCAAATCCAACGTCATTCCCCTGGGACACCCCCGAATTTCACAATTTGCTCAGTGCTGAATCAGAAGGGGAAAAAAAAAAACAAACAACAAAAAACCCAGCCCCAGAACGCGCAGCACAAAAACCATTCGGGCTAAAAGTGCCAATGTCATCATTAAAGGCAGGAGACACAAAATACGCCCGTCTGTGTTTTTTTTCGGGTTGGCAAAAATAAGGCCTGACGTACCTCGCGACGGCAGCGGACGTGCAATGGGAGAGGCAAGACTTCAAGACATTTCATCATCCCTCTGCAAAAAACCCCATTCCACCTGAGACATCCCTCCAAACATGGCATTATCCATTTTTCTTGTAAAATCAATCTCAATTAGGGGTTCCTCCAAGAGCTCCTCGCTTCTCAATTGCTCTTTCAGGGTCTAAAATCACCGTCCCCAAGCCTTGGCCTGGTGTCTGTCTGTCCATCCGCTGCCACCAGCATCAAGAATAAACCGACCCCCCCCTAGTTCAGGCCCCTGTTAGGGACCTGTTAAGTAGATCCTCTACTCTGGATAATGAGATTTTCACCATCAAAAGTGTCGTATTTGAAGTTTAAAGGGTTTTTTTTTTGTTTCTTTTAAGGAAAATATGATAGCACAACAGAAATTATCCCACTGATATAAATGAAGAAAGAATCCTGGAAGCTTGGGAGGTGTTGAAAGAGAAAAAGTCTTTTACAGAGCCATGAGGAGCCAAGATCCTCTGAGATTTAATGCGGTGGGGGCTCGGTCAATAGAAACGGCACCGGGGATGGGTGCAGAATTGGCCAAGGAGGGCAGAGCCCACCCTCTTGGGTAAAAGTATTTAAAAACCCACCATGAAAGCATCTCTGGGGAAAGCCCTGGGAAAAACTGGGGGGTTTCGGTGCTGCCAGGAAGCTGCTTTGAACCCCATCGCTTTGTCCTGGGGACGGCAGCAACGCACGGGCAAGGGGGTGAGCACAGCTGAAAACCCAACGTTACCTTTTCCTGCATCGGGTCCCCAATTCTGCCCCGTGGCGCAGGCGGCCCCGACCCTGCGGGGGGGGATTACAACCTGGTACAACACCGAGTGTACCAGCGCCAGCCGCGCTGCAATGCTCTCGTTGTAATAACAACTCCAATCTACCATAAAATTACAGTTTCCCAAGGGTGTTATTATCCCGCAGGTGGGGTGTAATTTGCGCGAGTATAATTTAATCTTGAAAAAAAGCTCAAAAATGAAGCAGGGCTAGTACTTCATCCTAAGCCTTCGTACGCACTCGTATGAGTATCCCCGAGGTGTTACCAGCACTAATTAATTACGCTCCTACACCCAGCGTGATCTTCCCTTACGGATGAGCCACTCACCCAAGGCTGCGTGACAAGTTCAATGTCCCCATCGTGCTCATCACGGCAGCATCCTTCCTCCGAAACCAAGAGCAGGAGCCCACATCTTCCTTATTAGCTCTGTATATTGAGTGCAGGATGAATAAAGGAATCAATTTGGTCTCTTAATTAATTTACTGTTAAAAAAATTAAATATATATATATATATATTTTAGAGGTAATTACAGCAAATGCTGCCTAGGGCAACCAGATGAAGGTTCAACATGACTCGACCTCTCAGCAGAGAGGATTCTGCTGTTAGTTGTAATTAAGGACCAAGCAAAGTTGAACTGAAAGTCGTGTGTGGAAGACAGTTGATGTGAAATCCGTTTTATCATAGTTTTTCCTCAATGAAAAGTCATTAATTATTGAGCAGCCAAAATCCCATTTCGAAAACTCTACCATTTAGAAATCTGTTTGAGATTGGGGTTGGTTTTTTTTCCCCTGGGTAATATAACAATAACTTAATAAGAAGTTACCAAAAATAAAAGACACTTTACAGCACGCTCTACAAGGACGCCCCACATACAAAGACCCGGAGGATTTGGGAACCTCACTGCTGTGCACCCACATTTCACCCTTTTTGTAGCACTTCTTTGAGCAAAAGCCGGACCCAAATCCCATCATCCTCAGGCCCAAGGTGCAACTGCACAAAAACCAAGCAAAAATGACCTCAGATGTGGTGGTGCCAAGCTCAAAAACCTCATTTTGGGGCTATTTTTACATATGCATGTGTGTATTGTACATATATAATATGTATATATACATTTCATATCTTTATAGGATATATAGATATCTATGTATGATATATATATATTGGGGGATTGGACTGGATGATCTTTTGAGGTCCCTTCCAATCCCTAACGTTCTGTTCTGTGATTCTGTGATAAGATACATATATGACAATATACATATAATTCATATCTATGCAAACGCACCTTGATATCAAAATACACCTTTCCCATTATGAATTTCATACATTTTACAGCAATTCTGGATTTTCTGAGCTCTGAAATACAATCAGCCCATAAAAGAACTTTACAATCTGGATTAGGTGGAACCAGCCAGTGCCTGAATTGCCACATGGCAACTGCTATTTCTGGGTTAAAATGATAGGGAAGGGGATGATAACTTAAATAACCCGTTTGAGGACGTGAAGGTGCAGCTGGGCTTGGCCAAAGATGAATCAGGACAATGTCCACAAAGGGTGGCTCCTTGCTGTAGCTCCCTCAAGGACCCTATAAAAGCAGCCGGGTCCTCCCATCGCCCTGCACGGCTTCACAGGAATCCCACTTGATCCCGTTGGCCATTTGGGTAAGTCGCTCCTAACGAATCGTGCGCTTTGCCGGCCAAGGACGCGTTGTTTCTCTAGGATCCGTGTTGGGTGGCAGCGTCGTTCCCGTCGCGGTATTTGCCGAGAGCTTTTTGCATTTATATCCGGGGAAATGGTGTTTTGTGGACACGGCCGTTGTGTGTCCATGTGTAGAGGAAGCTTTTCTCCAAGGAAATCAAGAGAGGGAGAGAGGTTTTGCGTCTTAATTTGGGCTTGGAGTCAGCTCCCAGCCAGAATGGATGGCAGAAATTTTCGGTTTTCTAGAGAAATGCCAAAACCCAGGACTTTGTACAGGTGCACACACGGGTTCATGGTGTGAACACGTTATAGAGAGTGGACACGTTGCAGCTCCACCAGCTCAAGCTGAGATCTCAGCACCCATGAGCCTGGGGGTCCTGCGAGGAGGAAGGGAGGCAGGAGGCAGATTTGAGGGCTCCAACAGGAGCACAGCATTCCTGCCATGCAGATCTCAGTAGTATTAAATAAGTAGCTGTGACCTAAGTGACCTGACCATTCCCCTCTGGCTAAATTAATTTGCCTACGAGCTGATGCTGTGATGAAAGCTTTATCGATCGTTTCGCATTACTGCTGGGCACAGGAGCAGCGGCCACAGGGCTCGTTTTAGCTCCCTGTAAGCACCCTACCTGTCCATGACCCAGCTAGATCTTGTCTCAGGACATGTCAGCACCGTGTTAGACGTCCCCTAACCTCCTCCAGAGAAGCTGGTGTGTGTCAATGCCACTCAGAGACGCTCTCAGCACTGGTCCTGGAGAAACACAAGTACCTGGTATAGCCCCGTGGGGACAGGTTCTTAGGGTATCTCTTGAGTCACCGTCATCAGTCGCCTCCCTGCGACCCATAAATGCAGGCATCTTGCCATCCCCTACCAAACGTCACGCGAGTACGTCAGCAGACACTCCCCATCCCACTAAAACCCCATAGCATTGGAATTTTCTCCAGTGCTCTGGTGAAACAGAGCTGGCCATGGCATGGGAGTGGACACACCACACATCGCACCGTGTCCTATTAACACTCTCGACCTGACCCCAGCAATTCTCCCCTCTCTTTTCTGTGTCCTTAGGTCTGCTCCTTTCCTTGCAGGCTTGCTTGAATCTGCAGGAAGATGTCTTGCTTCTTAGACAGCATTTCCACCATCATCAGCGTCTTCCACCAACTCACAGAGGAAGACGGAGGCTGCTCCAACCTCAGCCGCAGGAAGATGAAGGAGTTCATCCAAAGGGAGTTTGCAGATGCCATAGCAGTGAGTGCTGCGGTGACGGGGAGAGCTCGAGGCTGAGACTGGAGCGCAGAGGCTGCAAAATCTGTGTCCGGAGAGGGGGTGGCTCCTGTGAGCAGACAGGGATAGGGAGGCTTTTAAGGGGGAGTGACAGACATGATCGTTTGCACTGATTGCTTCAATGGCTCCTCCAACACATCTTGTCTTAAGCAAACGGGCAAAGCTGGACAATAAACACTGGGGATGTGTGGTTTTCTTTCAAAGGTAGGAAGGAAATGCATCCAGCAGAGGAATACAGAGTCTCCCAAAAGGAAGAGAGGCAGAGAATGAATAGGAAAATGGAGAACAAAGACATGGAGTCGTTTCTGACCCATAAAAGTGAATATGTGAGAGATGGAAGGAGAAGAGACTGCAATTGCCTCTGTCTTTGCCTTTTCCTGACAAGAAGCAAGAAGACTAAACTGTCTTTTTTGTTTCCCTGTGTGTGTTTTTCCTGCAGAACCCGCACGACCCCCAGACCATTGACAAGATTCTGCAGTTTCTGGAGTGGGATGGTGACGGAGAAATAGATTTCAACGAGTTCCTGCTCTTGGCGTGCAGAGTGGCAAAGGCCTGCTACTGGTACCAGCCAAAGGAACCATGCCTGCTGCAAAGGACAAAGCTGGCAAGCGGCAGACCACTCCGAGAGCCCGAAATTCAGAACAGAGGGAGCCATCGGCAGCTGCAGGAAGAGGAACGACAAACCTGTGAGAGTTACCATCATCCTCCCTGTGAGCAGCGAGACATCATGGTCCAGGAGCTCGAAACGCAAAGGGAAACAGGGAGTTGTCACCAGCAACGTAATGATGCAAAACGAAGCAGGGAACCGGGGGAGCCCATCCCTCAGGTACACGAAGAACAAAACCAGGAGTCGTGCGAGCAACGTAACAGCCAGAGAAGACGTCAGGCACTGGAGCCAAGCAGGCGAGGAGATGCACGGGTCTGCAGCCAGCAAACACATCAGCCCTGGCCGCAGGAGGAAGAAAGGCAACACCAAGAGGGGCCTCAACCAGAACTGGCAGACGTGAGGACTCGCAGCCAGACCTGTGAACCTCAACCACTGCCAAACCGGTGGAGTCGCTGTCAGCCACGTGGGCCAGCACAACCAGCATCTGATAAAACACCCCAACAACCACAAGAAGCAGATAGAAGTCGTCAGCATCAGCCACGGAAACCTGAATTAGTCAGGGAAGAGAGAAGCCGCTACGACCTACGTGAGCTGGAACAAAAAGCACTTGAGGAAAGCAGTCAGTGGCCACGCGAGCCTGAATACCTGGATTCAAGATGCCCACATCAGTCACACCTCCAGGAACCGCTAGACCTTGACCACAGGTACTACGAGACCGGTGAGCAAGAAAGAGATCTCTATGAAGGGAACCAGCAGGAACGTGAGACTGAATTCCCAGAAAAGGAAAGATATATACAGCAGGCTCAGGACAAGGAAGAACGAGATAATGTAAGGAAGGAAGAGCCTGTAAGGGAGAGAAGGATCGATCACCAACGGGAGCTGGACGTGGAGGTCTATGAACGCCACAGCCGCCAGACACGGGAGAGACGTGACGGTGAAACAGATGAGCCAGTAACGTATGAAAGGAGACGAGAGACAACAGTGGTGGCAGCAGAAGCAGACCTGAAAATCCATCGTGTATCCCGCGAACAGGAGCCCCGTGGGGACATGGGAAGTAGAGACCAACCCTGTGACTGTGAAGAACCAGAGGAGGAGAGGAGGATTTGCAAAGGAAGAGAGAGGGAAGAGCCTCTGCGGAAGAGGAGGATCGATCGCCAACGAGAGCTGGA